ACTTGTCATGCAACGTCTGCGGCAACTTCTTGGTCTTACCAATTGAACGTCTTGCCATTTCTTGATTTCTCATCTGCCCGAGAAAAATTGTTTGACAGAGACTCAACCAACACTGGGGTCCTGTTTCATTGGTAGGAGCTAGAGGGTAGTCATGATGACTGTCATGTAGTTCTTCTTGGTAACTGAAGTCAACTTCTAATATAAATCTAATCAGAGAGCCGTCAGTCGTTTTAAGGATTTGGTTCGAAATTACTCTCGTCGTCTAGATGCTCTTTTAACTCAAAGTTCTGCCCCGGTAGTTTTCCGTTTGCATGACGCCGCTATAGAGGTTATTCTCGTCGATCATCAACCTGTAGGCACTAGGCTGATCTAGGTTGAAGTCGGGTCATTCTTTGTTATTAGCTTTGAAAAAGCGGCTATGGAACACAGATTCAGTGCCATCTCTCATCATATTCTCGGGCATTTCGAGATGCCTGCGGTCTGATACAGGCTGAACGTTCGAGTTTTTGCAAATACGTTTGAAGGCGTCTCCAGCTCAGTTCGAAGCACTAAAATGGTGCGCACAGTCCAGGCGATAACTTTGCTGACTGATTTGTCGAAACTCGTCAAAGACGTAAGCAACAAGAAGTGTATCACACTTGAGATACAAGTTGTGATAGCCCTCCAAGTTCTGATATTTGAAATCCCTGAAAACATTTTTCCATCTTCCAGATCCGCTTCTGAAACTGCAATTTTTCTTTTCCTCCATCCAAAACATAAGATTAATGATGCAATGTAGGCAGTACTTTTTCTTCAAATTTGGCATTATAGATCTTCAACTCAAGAAGCATTGGAGTCCTAATTATAGTTTTAACTAGGACTCCAATGCTTAACGATATATAGTCTTCGCCGGTCCTTTTCTGGCAATTTTTAACTTTAAAAGTTTTCCAGGCCGCGCTAACCTCGTTTGCTGTGCTTTGAGATAACACATACATGAAGGTCAAAGTTCTGGATGTTATGTCCACTGACTGGGGTAAAACTCACTTTTCGTCTGGCTAGATTGCATTTTCCATGCGCTCATCCCAGAAACTTTCCAGAAAAATGACAATGGTCAAGACAATTTTTGTGTTCATTGGTAAATTTGATACAGCAAATTCAATATGCTGATATACTTTTTTTGTTCAAGGATTCTTGACTTCCTAGGAAATGAGAAAACCGTACCTTTTGATCATGTGTTTTTCTTGCCAATTGATGCAACCAGTTGAGAAACTTTTTCATGCATTGATCAGAGCTGTCATAGTCAACGAAATAGGGCTGTGATTTTCCGTGTTCAATTACAGCCAATAAAAATCCACAAGCTTAATGTTTTTGTACAACTCGGGTTGATGATCGCGAAGAATTATTAAGGCAAGAATGTACAGGTTTTAAAAAAGGTTCGAAGTCGAAGTAAATCACAAGTGGTACAAACCATAAGGCCTGAAGTTTTTTGGACTCGTATCGGTTGGTACCTATAAAAAAAACATCAATTGAAAAAGCGTCAATTGAAAACAAATAACTCAAAAAAGTTCTTAATAATCTATTAGTGTTGATCCAAACTCTGAAACGTCTCTCAATTTAGCTTATTTTGAACAACTGAGCAAACAACGATCAGAATGGAAACTGACTAAATTTCAGACGACTAAAAGTAAAAAAAAAACCAGTATCGACATTCAAAAGCAAAATTGAATTCATTCAACTGTCGACATGCACACGTTGTGGTTTTAGCAGTTTTCAAATCCAGAAATTGAAAAAAAAAATTGAAAAATAAGCAATATTAAAGCTCAAACAAAAATACACAAGTATCCAAATTGGTATCGAATGTTAACAAGTTACCACACCTCTATCTCCAGACATTTTTGATGCTATCTTTTCTGGTAATTTTTACCTGTAAAAGTTTTCCAAGCCGCGCTAACCGCGTTTGCTGTGCTTTGAGATAATGATTCCATTGGAAAAAAATCTGAACTGATGAGCCACAAAAGCAGTTAAGATGAACTCGACTTGAATTTCCTCTAAAACATTCGAGATAAAATCACAGAAATCACCAATTGGCCAACTTGTATTTTTCTTTATTTCACAATCTGATTCATTAAATCCTGAGCACAGGTTCCAAAAAATTTAATTGATATCCAACAGTTTGCTTCAATTACTTGATTGGCAAGCTTCTCCCAAAGATTAAAATGATTGACATCTGGCATGCTAAAGCGAATTAAAATTCATATGTTTCATGAGCTTATGGCTGATATGCCAATTTGTTCACAAGAGCTCGGATAATTTTCTTTCTTTTTTTATACTCTGGGAGGCTGAACAATTAATCGTTTGAAAAATAGAAACTGGTTCACATAATGAAGGCAAGTAATGATGAAGTTAACATGGGAATATTATCTTGGTAACGATGACAATAAAATAAAAAAGTTGCCAGCTGATAGATAGTAAAACGGGTACGTTCGAGCTTGATGAGTAAGATTGTTAAAATCAAAACAGAATGTAGATGGTTCTGAACACGAGTTTAACAGGTGAATAAAAATGTCAAAAACGACAATTACTGATAAAAGTTACTAATTTAGTGATTTTTGAATAAAATGAGAAAAAACTACGCTCGGATTGTTTTTAAACCATTTACTTTGATAGATATTTCAATTTTTACTACTTCAAAATCATTCTTTTAACTCATCAACTTTCTTTGAACTTCGGCTACTGTTGTTCCGACTTTTGAAGAATTACTGTTGTTCCGACTTTTGTCCGACTGACCAGACAAATTACCATGCTCTTAATTTAATTTTTGCCTCGTTTTTTTATGACTGAATAAAATCGCAGCCGAGTTGAAAATTTAAAAAATTAATATATGTTTTACCTAAATATATGTAATTTTTATTAATGTTTCAGCGGCGTAAAAATCCAAATCTAATTATAGCAAGCAAATTGCTGAAATACCGCATGGCTAGACACAACATATAACACTATACGCTTGATATTGCAAGTGATTGATGGGCAGACTATCGAAAAAAAACACGATCAGTGGGAGCAATCACTGCTTTGCCCGGATATGACCTGTAATGGCCTGAACCGAGCAGCACTGATTGCCACGCAACAACTTATGATTTACAAAAGTATTGTTGCAAATGGTACGCTTGAAAAATTATACAAAATGCCTGATCGAATTACGTTTACTCGATCCATATGATTAGTGAATAATCATGTCAAGTGCCCATTTTGGAAATCAGCCAGCTTTAAGATGGCTCCTTTAGGTTGACCGGATGCCCCTGGTAGCTCAATCGCTACAGTTCGATTGCTAAGCTTGTTAGTATCGCTTTTTCCACGTTGCTCCTTGCAACTGGTAGATCGCTCTGCACAATGGCATCGCTTTGTATCGATTTCCAGTTCGCTTTGCTGACACTGGAGTCTGTCACTCTTAGAAGCTCGGGTTGGCCTGGCCAAGTGTTCGCGCCGAAGTTCGTAAGGTTAAATTAGCGGACTAATCAGGCAGATACACCTGAGACTCGCATCTTGACATCTAGACGCTCAATTGGTTGGTTTAAAAGCTATGGGTACAAATCATCATTTTTTAAGATTGTGGGTGAAACAGCTTTTGACCTGGTTCAATTCCTTTACCAATGTAGTGAAAATCAGCATATTTTTTTGTAAAAAGAAAGTTACTTATTATGATCAATATCGAATTGAAAAGCGTTTGACTTACACCTGCAGCGAGTATTTGATACTGATTTTCTAATACAAGTCCTATAAAATATTGTATCGAAAAGAAGTGATATATTGTATTGTATAAAAGAAGTGAAAAAAAATGAAGAATTCAGGTAACTCTAATTTCCCACACGCTTTTCGTCCATTTGAAAGGAAGTTGGTCGAAGGTTACAAAAAACAATTAGTCGATACAGCACTCTTTGTTTTCATATGCGCATACATGTAGAATTTCACTGTCGTGCGGTTACTATCCTAAGAGGACTTCTGTCACAGACAAACACACTCGCGCACATTTCTTTCTTTTATTTTTCCGACTTTTGTAGAAAACGGAATATTTATGCTCGGTGTGGTTTTTTTATTCAGAGTCAATTTTCACCGATCGAAAAAATAGTTTTCGAAGGCAAAAATTTTTATACGCCATTGAAGATACCAACTTCCTGAGTTCAAATGTAAAAGATATTTCACCTTCGATTATTTTTTGTAAAGTTCTGGGGGTTTGAAAATTTCCAAATTTGCCATGTTCTGGACAAAATTATGCGCACTTTGAAGAGTTGACTCATAATGCTGAGAGTGTAACGCGAACAAAACTAATCCAAATTGAACCGACGCAAGCTAATCGGTCGTAATAATTTCGTACGGGGAGGGTTCTCATGCTGGAGAATGCTGAAAAAATTTCAAACAATCAAAGTCTTTAATTCACACTATACAATTTTGCTGCAAGGAAAACAGATGAAATTCAAGGGAGCGCAAGCGTTCATTTTGCCACTGTAAGGCCACCACTCACTGAAATACAGGATCAAGTGGCGGCTACGGTAAGCGACTCTTGTAAAATACAACAAGACTGCTCGTATTAGGGCGAAACCCTGTATGCTCCGACTGTCTTTGAAGTCTATGGGTCGATAATAGCATGAAAAAATTAAATGTAATAAAACAAAATACATTTTTTTAATTTGATGTTTTTGCAAAAATCATCGCCCCACACGACATACAAAGTACAAAAATTTAGATTTCGCTCCTAGTAACAAATCGATTATGGAAAATAAGCTTCTTTCAACCGATTTTGAACGATTTCTAAGACAAATTAAATCTCCGCTTACGCGTTTATAGCGCGAAATATAATGGCTAGTTAAAAAGTCGAAATTTGTCTGAAGAAAAAAAACCCACCCGAGCACAAATATTTCATTACTTTCGTTACGAAAGAAGGAAGAACTAAAATGCTCGTATCAGTGCGAAGCCCTGAACGTTGCGACTGTCTTTTAAGGTTTATCATAAACATAAACAGTTTAATTTAATAAGATGAAATGCATTTTTTTTCTTCAAAAATTTGAGATTTTTTTCGTGAAAACATCACCCCAGACGCCATAAAAAGTACAAAAGGATAAATTTTGCTTCTTGTAATAAATCAATTTAGGCAAATAAGCTTTTTTAGACCAATTTCGAACGATTTCAAAGACGTATTAAATCTCCGCTTACGCGTTAGTAGCGCGAAATATATCGCGCGTTAATTGTCCCAAATTGGCCAAAATGACAACCTTTAAACCCCCATAACTTTACAAAAAACAATTACAGATAAAATATCTTTTCAAATTTAAACTAAGGACATCAATACTTTTTGACTGTTATAAAAAACTCCGTCAAAAATGGCTAGTTAAAAAGTCGAAATTTGTCTGACGAAAAAAAACCACCCCGAGCACAAATATTTCGTTACTTTCGTTACGAAAAACGGAACAACAAAATGACTCATGTCACGGCAAAGCCTTGAACGTATCAACTGCCTTTTAAGGTTTATGGAGCAGTTATAACATAAAACAGTTTAAATGTAATAACAAGAAATGAATTTTTTTCTTCAAAAATTGGAGATTTTTTTGTGAAAATCATCCCCCTACACGCCATATAAAGTACAAAAGGATAGATTTCGCTCCTTGTAACAAATAAATTATGGCAAGTAAGCTTCTTTGAACTTATTTTGAACGATTTCAAAGACGGATTAAATCTCCGCTTGCGCGTTAGTAGCTCGAAATATATCGCGCATTAATTGTCCCAAATTGGCCAAAATGGCAATCTTTAAACCCCCATAACTTTGCGAAATACAATCACAGATAAAATATTTTTTCAAATTTAAACTGAGGACAACAATACTTTTTGAATGATTTAAAAAAACTCCGTCAAAATGGCTAGTTAAAAAGTCGAAATTTATCTGAAGAAAAAAACATACACCGCGCACAAATATTCCGTTACTTTTGTTAAGGAAGTCGGAACAACAATCGTAAGCGTCTGACTTACCATAGATTGAGGACGGAGTTTTATATCCACTTTTTGTTATATCCCAACATTTGAATATGGATCATATGGCAAATTTTGCGATCAGAAGAAAAACTTTTCTAAGATATTTGAGATCAAAAATTGCCATTATTTTCTCGCTAAAATTTTACAAACCAACATATTCACGTTTTGACTTCCGGACAATAGAAGTTCCGATCACAAAAATATTGCCAAATTAAACCGAGTTCGATAATTTTTTCATGTCCCTCGCAAATCATAGAAAAGAATTGAAAAAAGAAGTCTGCTTGTAATGTGGCCTTGAACCCTCATCCGCCCTTGAATCATTCTTGATTTTTCTGTTAATTGTTTTGACAAAGAAATTGTATTATTAAGCAAGATATTTTATATAGTCAAACTCGATAACATATTTCACCTGCGATCGTTTTTGGCTACTCTGATTACTTTTGTTCCGACTTCCGAAGAAAACGGAATATTCATTCTCGGTGTGGTTTTTTTTATTCAGTCAATTTTGGCCGATCGAGTTAATAGTTTTCAACAAATATTTTTTGAACCCCATTGAAGATATCGATTTCTTGAGTTCAAATGTTAAAAGATATTTTTACCTCCGATCATTTTTTGTAAAGTTCTGGGGGTTTGAAAATAGCCATTTTGGCCATGTTCTGGACTAAATTATGCGCGCTTTGAAGAATATATTCCATATTGCTGAGAGCGTAACGCGAATTATTCCGCAACCAAAACCGTTCCAAAGTGAAGTGAGGCTAGCTAATTGGTCGCATTAACTTCGTACGACTCAAAATTTTAGTTTTTGATTTTGTCCAAAATTTACATGTTTTCAATGTTCTCTTTCCCCAAAACCTATTCGATATGAATTAAGGGACAGTCGGAACATTCAGGGCTTTGCCCTAATATACGAGCAGTCTTTTTTGCGTTTAAATTCATTTCAATGTGATATGAGGAGAGGTAATATGCATTCCAAACATTTTACTCAGGGCTTAGTAAAAGTCATTGGGGTTTAAAATGTCAATTAACTGAAAGTTTCGTCAATTAATTGGATTGAAAATCCTAGTTATGTCAATTACATTAAACAATTAATTGCAATTAATTGGCCTTCGTTGTCAATTGACACTAATTGAAGGAAAATTTTTGTCAATTAATTGTCTCCAATTAATTGCAATTAATTGGTCACCAATTGACTTTTACTACGCTCTGATTTTATTGATGAAATGAGATTATTGTCTTATCAATTGCAGCAAATTAGATTAGCAAGATATTTATTGTCCCATCAGTTGTGGCAAATTATTTATGTACAGTTGTTGAGTTTGAGTTTGTTGTCTGAAGACCTGCCACTTGACCTTGCTGACATCTACGTTATCTGGATTCACTTAAAACAAAAGATGTTATTCTTGTTACTGAACCATGTGTTTGAATCTGATATAAACTTTGTACAACAGTCATTTTCGGACCTAAATTACAACTCTTGAAAAGCTGAGGAGACATATCAGATCACAATTTTACATTTTTTGAAGCTGACTAGAATAAGAAGAAACAAGCAACCCCAAGCTTAAGTGTTTGACTATTTCATTCAAAAAATGGCACAAACAAGACTGCTTGTTTTAAACCAAAGCTTTCTGGTTTGGCTTTTGTGCAAAAATTGATCTCTTTGAGGTTTTTCATTTAGTTTCAATTGCTACACAAAACAAGCAACAGCGATAGGCACGTCATTTTAAAATTAATAAACTTAGTGAGTTGTTGTTCCAATCACGTCACTGAAACTGACCAAAAAAGAGTTATCGAGCTTGGTTTTTTTCTTCGAAAAAGCTCAAAAAGGTTCATATATGATATCATTTTATAGTCCTATTTAACCCTGATTTAACAAAAATTGCAAATTTTACCTGCATGTGTTGAGAACCGGTTACCTGTTTTCCTTTTTTTGGACTGATTTAGTTGTCTGAAAAAAACGCCAGATTAAATAGTGAGATATTGAGAAGGGCATTGGAGTCTAATTCTGCTGCGTTAATGCTTTTTCAGCTACAGTGGTGATTTAAATTAACCGGACAAAACGAGCTAAACTTGAAATTTAAAACGCGTTTTTCGCAAATTGGGTTGAGTTTAGGTGAAAACTTATGAAGACAAAATTTGCTTAAAATTTTAGCAGAATTTATATGGTGTATTTGTTTTGCAAAATTCGGGCACAAAATTCTACCTCAAAATGGGTCATTTTGGTTTTTTTTAGTTAATCAAAAATTACGCCAAAAATACCCAGTCGATCACAGACATAATTATATCAAAGTGAGTCCCTTACGCAGTCCAACAAACTAAAGAAGGGTATATTCTCCAAAACATAGTATAAAATAATTTATTTTTATTTGATAGACAAAAAAGTCGTTTTTACTATATAAAAGACCAACTTTTTATTTAAAAACAATTTTTGAACGGTTTGCAATTTTTTTTGAAGAGTATACCCTTCTTTAGTTTGTTGGACTACGTAAGGGACTCACTTTGATATAATTATGTCTGTGATCGACTGGGTATTTTTGGCGTAATTTTTGATTAACTAAAAAAAACCAAAATGACCCATTTTGAGGTAGAATTTTGTGCCCGAATTTTGCAAAACAAATACACCATATAAACTCAACCCAATTTGAGAAAAACGCAATTTTAAGTTTCAAATTTAACGCATTTTGTCGGGTTAATTTAAATCAGCACTGTATATTAAATTAACTGTGCAGATATTTTTTATTTGAATGAACCCACTCAGTGCTGCAAAAATTACGTTTGTTTTTAACTTTGTTCCTAATTTGTTTCAGTTGAATTATTGTGGTTGGAACAAACTGTGAGACTTGCTCAGCAACAGAAAATCGGTGGTGTTATTTTTGAGTATTTCTTTCCCGAATTAGTTAGAGGAAATAAATCTTTTAGATTTTGCTGTAATAATTGGAAATGTGGCATAAATAATCCTGACTTATGATCCAATTAATGAGCTCAAAAATACAAACAGAAAATGATTATTTCTTTAAAAAATGCTTTCTTTAGCTTTCAACCATCACCAGTCTTTTATAGGCATTGAAACTCACAGTAAAACAAGTTTGCAACTTACAAGTAAGAGTAGCTTGGGGTATTCCATTTGGTATGTGAAACTGTAAATTTCAGTGATTATTGACAAAATACTGGCTTTAAATACTGCACCATCACTCGCTGCAATCCCGATTAAATGCAAAAAAAGAATAAACGCTAAGAAACTAATTGTATGGCTAATTTTAGACAAACTGCATAACAAACAGAAATATCTGATATATTTTGCCCTTTCTTTTTGAGCATTTTTATTCTCCCTTTTTTGTTTTGGTTTGAAGACAGCAAAATAATCATATTGCTACATAAACTTTATCCAGTTTTTTTTAACTTAGAAAAAACTACAAAACTATAAAAGTAATTGAAAAATTTTGATTTCAAAATAAAATACACGAAAGTACTAAAAAGATAGAAAAGCTCTAAAAATACATCTTTCAAGGTAACAAATCGAAAACCTGAAAATGAATCCGGTTAATTGTCATTCTAACCATTGAAAATGGAGAAAAAATTTTCTATTCGGGTGTGTCTTACTTTTTTCCTTATACTATTGAAGCCCTGAAAATTTTATTTTACTGCAGTAAATTACTTTTCCAAATTTTTAGGTGCCATTTTTGGCACGAAAAGTTTCAAAAATGCAAAAAAATTTTGCTAAATTTTTTTTTGAATTTTCGTTTTTCTGGTCTTTTTTTGACAAAAAGTTTTGTCCTTTTTTACTAAAAGTGTCAAGTAACCCCAAAATTTAAGGTTTCGTTCAGAGGATTTTATCACACTTTATACAAACAACGAAACTAGTTTTAAAAAAGAAAAAGTTGTCTGCAGGTTTTTCTCGAATATGCTTGTACATTCTGTGCTACTTGCACCGCAATCATCTATCCTTGTTTATTTTTAATTTAGTTTCTTAGAGGATTTCACTTAAAAAAAGTTGTTCGGTATTCATTTCTGTT